CCAGTTTGTTTCTGCTTGTGTTTGGGGTGACTGGGCGTGCCCTTGTATAACTGGTGGGTATCTCTGAATCCGTGTGTGGGAGACGTCACAAACCTGGGTGACAGGATGCCTCCTTTTTCTCTGCCCTTGTCCCGACGCTGGTGTCCTCTAAGAAAAAGTTTTGGGTTCCTGCTGGGTGAAAGAAAGCCCTGCTCCCAGAATTTGGGTGCCCTGAGTTTCCTTGGGCTATGGAAGCATCGGCATGCTGGTTTGGGAGGGGAGTTCTTGGGCCACTCCAGGAGCTGAGTTCTGTGTAAGGTGTTAAAAATCTGGGTGTGTGGTGGGGGGGGGGGGTTGGGGGGGGGAAGGGACACATCTGGACACCCACTGGGCAGGAGGGGTCACCGCCAGTCCCTGTTTGCGGTGGCAGTCAGGAAAATGGTTTTGGTGCCAAGAGTAAAAAAGCCAGCTAGCACGCCACACCTCTTCTGTCCGTTTACTGGAAAGTGGGAGCAGTCTGGGCAGAGCCTGGCTCTGAGTAGGTACCCTGCTACCCCGGGTTGGGGTTGGGGGAGGGATTGTCTGCCTGGGCAGGTTGCTGCGCCATTCCTGAGGGCTGGCTGTGTTCCAAGCCAGGGGGGCTGGGCGGGACCCAGGCGGGATTCAGACACATCCCTGCCCTCAAGCTGCTCACCGTGGCCTTAAACACTGGGGCAGAGTAGAGTCTACGAGTGGGGGCTGGAAGAACCAGGGACGCAGGGCGGAACGGTGCCACCAGGACAGGACAGCTGGGGGTTCCCAGGTTTGTAGGTGATCATAATTCTTAGGGAAGCCGTGTTCAACCCCTGGCCCCCACATGCCTGCCAGGGGATCGTGGCTGTGGTTTGCAAAACGGAGACAGTAATTTCTGCTCACGGGGCTGGTGAAGGTTGCAGGAGACACTCCTGAGTGAAGTGCCTGCTTTGGGGCGTGTAGGTGCTCAGTAAAGGTTTATTAAATTGGAACTCAGGAGAGAGGGACGCGGTGGTAGGAATGGGTTGTAAGCGGAAACTGGCTTTGTACTCAGATGAAAGGCCCTGTGTGTGCCAAGAGGAGGGATCTACTGCAAAGTCCACGATGGAAGGAAGATCAGAAAGATCGAAAAACGTGCCTTCCTGCACTGAGGCTCTTTTTCATTCATTCATTCACTCTATTCACTTCATTTGCTCATATTCTCTCTCTCTCTCTCTCTCTCTCTCTCTCTCACACACACACACACACACACACACACACACACACACACGGAACCACAGAGCACTGGAGAATAAACTCAGGCATGGGAATGCAGAGAAACATCTAGAATCATGTGTATACGTGTGTGTAGACGCACCAGGGCGTGTGAGCCAGCCTATACTGCGGGGTCTCCATACAGCGTGGAGACCTGGGTCTGTGTGCCTGGGGCCCTGGGTGTCCGTGTGTACAAGGAACAGAGTAGTTCTGCTGTGGGATCAGGAGTTCTGTCTGCTGCGTGGGGAAGGGGGCTGAGGTAGGACCTGGAGGGGGACAGGCTCTGGACCTGCCCGAGAGGATGCGTCATCCACTCCGGCTGAGGGTGGCGGGCGGGCCCCGCGCCCGGGGGGGGGCGCCCCAGATTCTTCCATTATTGCAAGAGAAGCCGGGAACCCAAAGTTTAAAATGTAAAATCTTTTGCTTTTTCTATACTGGCAACTACTTCAAAAACAAATGAACAGACCAGAAACAAGAAAAAAGCAAAACCTCTATGAGCCAAAAGTGGTCCGAGAGCTGGTCCCAGCTGGCCTCTGAGGCACCCTCTCTAGAGTGCCCTCATCCCCTCTCACTGCCGGGGGATTTTCCACTCACTCTCTGAGGTCTGGCTCAAATGCCACCAAGCCTTAGAAGCTTCTCTGACTTTCTCCTCTTTGTCTGTACGTCATCTTCCTCCTCTCCACCCCTCCCCCCCTGCCCCCGGCCATTCTCATTTCCCTTAGTTGAACTGGCTGGGGCCTTGCATTATTTTGCGAAATCCTCACCTTGACCTCGGAGGGAGGCGTTTTTGCTTATTCCCATTTAACAGGTGAGAACATTGAGTCTGAAGAGGTCACATCGCTTGCCCGAGTTCAAGGGGCGAAGCTGGGATTTGAGCCTGATCGCCACCATCTGAATGACGGTGATAGCTTGCTGCTCATACTTACTGTTTTGAGAAGTTTACAGGGATTATCTCAAGCCCTACATCAGTCCCAGTGAGTAGGGAGTAGTAGTGTATTATCACTTACTAGGGAAACTGAGGCCCAGAGAGGGTAAGTAAATTGCCCAAAGCCACCTGCCAGCCAGTGGGGGACAAGGTCCTGGGCTGGATAGGATGGCACCACTCGGACACTGTCTAAGACCCCACCCCCATCTGTCTGGCAGGTTCCCCCAGGGACTGTGCCTGGACCGCCCTCACATTGCTCGTGGGGCCAGCAGGCTCTTGGTCGAGGTCTGCTAAATTCAACTGACTTTTTCTTTTCTCTTCCAGCTGCCAAGGGGCCAAGGGATGAGCGGGGGCCCTCCTTCCCAATGGCATCTCCCCCCAGCCTGGAACTGAAGACACTGCACAATGGCCCCCAGATCCCAAGGAGACCAGCCCCTCTGGGCCCGGTGGGCCCACCCAGGGAGGGTGTGGAGAATGCCTGCTTTTCCTCAGAGGAGCGTGAGACCCATTTCCAGAACCCTGGGGACACCAGACTGGGCAGCTCCCCCAGCCCCCCTGGGGGCGTCCCCTCACAGCCCCGATCCCAGCGGGACGATCTATCCCTGCGTTCAGAAGAGGGGCCAGGCCTGGAGCCCGTGAGCCGCCCGGTGGATTATGGCTTTGTTTCTGCTCTGGTTTTTCTGGTGAGTGGGATCCTCCTGGTGGTGACTGCATACGCCATCCCCCGTGAGGCCCGCGTCAACCCTGACACGGTGACAGCGCGGGAGATGGAACGACTCGAGATGTACTATGCCCGCCTGGGCTCCCACCTGGACAAGTGCATCATCGCGGGCCTGGGGCTGCTCACAGTGGGTGGCATCCTCTTGTCAGTGCTGCTGATGGTCTCCCTGTGCAAGGGCGAGCTGTACCGCCGGCCCACCTTCGTCCCTGGCAGGGGCTCCAGGAAGACCTATGGCTCCATTAACCTGCGCATGAGACAGCTCAATGGGGACGGGGGCCAGGCTCTGGTGGAGAACGAAGTTGTCCAGGTCTCAGAGACCAGCCACACCCTCCAGGGGTCTTAAGTAAGAGCTCACCCTGTCTGGCTGCTTCAGCTTCAGGGCTACGAGGCCCCCGAGAGCCTGGGGTTGTAGACTGAGCTTCACGTAGTGTCCTGTGGAAGCAGTCTTGGGTGCTGTGGGGGGGGGAGTCCGGGGCCGGGCCCCGGCTGCACATGTGCGTGCCGCCCCCCCCCCCCCCCCCCCACTGATGTGTTTGCAGCTTTAGGTTTTGCATAAGGTTTGTTTGGAGGATGGCTTCTGCTGCTAAAAATACAAAAGTTTGGAAACCGCTGCCCTGGGAAGATGAGGTTTCTTGGCATTTCCAAGGATCGAGAGCCCTTTGAAAGGCTGTCCATCCTGTTTCTCATGCCTTGGGGAATTCCTGGAGCTCTGCTGTCCTCATCAGCCAAGTGCGGGTGCTGGGCGACCTCGGAGGGACCCCCCCCCCCCTTTCAGCCCTGACCATCTGTTGGGAGCTGGCTTCCCGAGGAGAGGAGAAATCAACACCGAGGCGACCATCCCCTCTCCAGGCCTCAGTCCCCCTGACTGTGAATTGAGAGGGTTGGGCTGCATGATCCCTGGGGCCCCTCCAGTTCTGCCCTCGGAATGGGAGCCCAGTAGATACAGGAAAGGAGGGTGTCTGGCTGCTGCTCACCAATCTCCGCCATTTTCTGGCCCGGCTTGGGTGGCCGCCGCTGTCCGACATCTAGCCGCTCGCGTGGTCCCGAATCCCCTGGTTAGGCTGGGTTGAAGTCCAAAGTTTGCTACAGCCCGATTTTGGTCTGGGGATCGAATTACCTGCAGCGACCAGATCGTCGCACACATTTTACAAAGTCCAGTGCACCCCTGGACAAGAGCGGTCTTTCGTACAAGAAAGGGTGAGAGGCCTTTGTTGTATTTCTGTGGACAGGATGTGGGCTTCTGTCACCTCTCACTTCTCAATGTTACGTCTCTGGCCCCGGACCTTATCCTGGGAGCAGAAAAAAAAATTTTTTTTTAGTGCTGAATTTGTAACCTCCCTTCTTCCCCTTAGCGGTAAAGTGAGCCCCAATGTATTGGGGGAGAAATCAGGCATGTTCTGGTGGCCTAGCTCTAGCTGCAGTGACCACTCTTTGTTCCGTTTTTCTCGTGGGGTGTTTGCAGAGTCCCTCCAGACTCTAAACTACTGACGAGGAAAGGAAGTGAGCTCTAGGGGGCGGGGAGATACAGGTGCTTGAGGCCCGGGGGGTGGGGGAGGCATCACCCAGTGTGACGGGCCCTAGAGGGCTTTGAGAGGACACACCTTCCAAGTCATTGACGTGAAGACCCTAAAGGGGTCATTTCCATGAGCCCCCTGACCCCAGGCAGGTCCTACCCACTCCATCTCCGTTGGCCACGTGGGCCCTGGATCCCAACTGTCTCTTGGGGGTGGGAGGGGGTGGTGGGAATGGGGTCTGTAGGCTAGAGCAGCCCTGATTAGCCGTAACCTGAGCCTTCAGTCCCGGGAGCCGAACATCTGGGAAATGTAACAGCACAGCTTCTACGACAGATCAAATATCTGCTCCTGCTGGCAGGTTTTGCCAGGAGCAGAGGGCTGGGGGAGGACTGGAGGGGACAAGGGCTGTTCAGCTTGGCCCGCTGGGCTCTTGTTCCTGGTGTCGAAGGGGTGTGGTTTGAAAAGAACAAAGCCTCTAGCTGGTGAAAGATTCACAAGTCAGGGCTTCCCTGATGTGTCAATTTCCACGCCCCCCCCGACCCCCCCCCCCCTGCCGCCCCACCTCGTTCCAAGGAAGAAGTGAATGCTCTATGTAAACTACAGTCAAGTTGGACATCCCAAAGGATGGGTTAAGGCCTTTCAAATCCATAGTGATAATAATAAAAATACTGGTCCAAGCCGTATAGATTACTGGGACAGTGGGGGGCTCATTTGAGTCTCACCTGTTGAGTGGAGGCATCTGGGACCCTCAGTTCCTATCAGTGTAAATGCAGTGAATTGATTTAGGGGCTAAATCTGTTGGAAGATCATATCCTGGGAATCTCAGGTTTTCTCCAAGCCAGAGAAGCCTGCTTTGCATCCTAATGCAGAAACTCCTTTAGAAAATGTGTATAAATGGATCGAGGCCGTCATTACCTTGTCAGTGAATTAAGAAAACCGGAGAGCCAAAAACATTTCCCCAAGAGTGCGGCTCAGATCTGCCAGCCGGTGGGTCAGAAACAGGTTTAGGAAGGAATCGGGGAGACACGTGGCGCAGGGTGCCGAGAACCTTCTTTGCAGGCTTTGTTGGGGGGTGGCTGTGAAGCGGTCCCAGGGAACCCCGTGGTCCCTGGGATGTGCCTCACTTCTAGGAACTGCCTTTCCCACCTGACATGCCACCAGGGCCCCCAAACCTTGCTTCCCTAGTGTGTTGGTTATCCACTTTGGAGTTGGGAAGCCCTGGGTCTGAATCCAGGCTCTGCCATTCACTGGCTGTGTGACCTTGGGCCAGCCACTCCACGTCTCTGAGTATTGTGTTATCTGTGAAGGGGGAGAGGTAGGAGGTCCAGTCACTAAGATCACTCCTTCCCCACCTCAGTTGGGGGTAAGTAGATTAGGCCTAAGACCTTGGGGCTGCCCCTCTGCCTGCCGCCTCTCACACCTCTCATCCTACCCATGAGCACATCTGGTTGGTTCTACGTTTGGAATCTGCCCGTGCCCGCCCCTTGGCCGCAATTACCTGGTCCACATTGCTCATCGGTATTCCGATTTCTCTCCTGTCCGCCCTCTGCCCCCAGTTCATCTTCCACACTGCGGCCAGACAGATTTAATTGGGTCAGGTCATTCGTCGGCTCAGAACTCTCCTATGCTTCCCTCTCATTCTGGGCAAAAGCCAAAAGTCTCCCTCTGGTCAGGTGTACTGTCCAGGCCCCTCACTTGCCCCAGGCACCTTCCGAGGCCCAGAGTCAACGTTTTATATGTAATTTTTTTTTTTAAGGATGGCCCCTGAAATTGCATAGATTCAGGTCTCCCCAGATGTGTGTCCCTTCCCCACAGTGGTCCATGAAATCCTATCGCAGTCTGGCCCCTGTGCCTCTCTGGCCTTATTTCTCACACCTTGCCTCTTTGCTCACTCCAGCCACACTCGCCTCCTTGTGCTGTTCCTCAAGCCTGAAAGGCACACTCCCACTTCAGGGCCTTTGCACTTGCTGCTTCTTCTACCAGGAAGGCATTTCACCTTAATACATGCAAGGCCCACTTGCTCGCCTCCTTAGGGGCTTTATTCAAATACCCCCTTGTCAGCGAGTCCTTTGCTGATGCTGATGTAAAATCGCACCCTTTCAGGGACGCCTGGGTGGCTCAGTCGGCTAAGTGTCCGACTTCAGCTCAGGTCATGATCTCACAGTCTGAGTTCGAGCCCCGCGCCGGGCTCTGTGCTGACGGCTCAGAGCCTGGAGCCTGCTTCGGATTCTGTGTCTCCCTCTCTCTCTGCCCCTTCCCTGCTCGTGCTCTGTCTCTCTCTGTCTCAAAAATAAATAAAAACATTAAAAAAAATTTTTGAATTGCACCCTTCCCCCACCTCAACCTCATTCTCTTTCTTCCTTTCCTGCTTTTTCTCCAGAGCTAATCACCACTCAGCAGGCCATGTTTTATACTTATCGTCTCTCTTCCCCCCTCGCAAGCAACACGAGGGCTGGCATTTTGTAGGCCCTGGGCTAGAACTGTGCGTGACACAAAGTAGGTGTTCACTGTTGGACGAACAGTGCAGGGTCCTGGAGACCCCCTAGCCCCTGCCTCACCTCCCGGAGCCCCCTCTAGGGGTGGGCGACAGTCATGCAGAAGATCCCAGGGCTGGAAGTATGGAGTGTGTTTTGTCTCTGGGACCTGACGTTGGAGCTTGGGAATCCGTTTGCCTTCTGCTCTCAGGGCCTTGGTACTTACTGCTTTATGTGGGGGAGGGGGAGCGGGAGGGGTTTCTCTGATGGAGGAAGACCCTTCTTCCCCCCCAGTCTTGTTGGAGACAGATTCCAGCTAGTCTGGGGGGAGGGGCGGCATTTGCTGGGTATTTAGGCGCCTGTGATACACCAGCCTGATTCTCTCTTACTCAAGAACCTTGAGTGGCTGGGCCTGGACCTCTGAAGCCCCCGTGCCTATCATCACAACTGTTCACTGACCTCTGGGATGACCCCAGGCTGAAAGTGCTTGCTGCTGGGAGGTTCCACCATTATCCACCTCTCTTCCTTGAGAATAAGCATCACCTTCTCTGGGATTCTCTTTAAAAATGCCCTCCTCGTTACATGTACACACCCACACATACACATGCACATGTACAGGGGCACATACCTAGGCAGGGACATCACACACACACACACACACACACACACACACACACCCCTTTCTCTTGTCTGACCTCGCTCAGAAGCCAAGGACACCTACTCTTTTGAAGCAGCTCCAAGCCAAAGCAACCACTGGATTATTGATAATGTTTTCTCTTTCTCCAGAAGCCACACAGGCCTTGCCGTTCCCAGGAAGCTAACCTCATAGCCACAGTCAGGTTCTCCCTCTCCAGGTTATGCTGGTATCTCTATCCTTCCTGCTCCCTCTCCTGCTTGGGTGGAGGAGGAGAGATGTCCACACGGTGTTTCCACCTGGCATTTTGGGAGGGGACTGTGTGGTCCTGGCTGGGAACCAGGTGAGCCAAGGTCCTGAAGTCACCCCTTCCCTATGGGCCATGGGCATATCGCTCCACCCCTCTGGTCCTCCAGAATGAAATTGGAAACCTTTCCACTCTGCCTTGTCTGGTGACTCGGGAGATCAGGAAACACGAGCAGAGGGCATTCTAAAGTTAAGAGCATGTTACCCTATGTCCGGAGAGCTTTGGAGGGGCAGGAGGAGGGAGGAAGAAGGGAGGCATTATGAAGAAGCCCCAGGAGCTGGCGTTCTGTCTGGGAGAAAAGTAGGGTGTTGGCGGCACTGGTAAAACTGAGATGCCTTCCATCGGGGCCTGTTGGTTTCTCTGGGAGAGAGTAGACTCCCCTTGATGTCCCCAAGGAGGTTAAGTTTCACCTGAGGGAAGGAGACGCTTGCTGAGACCTTGTCCCGGTTGGAGTGGTAGGGAGCTCCTTGTTAGGGAAGGTGTGTTAGGTTACTGGTCAGGTTGTTGGGTATCGTTAGGGATGGAGCATAGTAGAGTTGGGTAGGATGGAATCAAGAGACTCCCCCAGCTTCCAACCCCCATTCTTTAAGGAGAGCCAATGTCCCAGTCGCCAGAGCCTGGCCCTCTGTATCTTCTGGTCTTTGGCCCAAATACCCTCTTCCCCAGGTCATTCCTCTTCCTGGGTCAGGTCATCCACGAGCAAATGAGAAGCCCCAGGATATCTGAATGGTGCCCCAGGTGGCAGGATTGCTGCCCTCCGCACTTCTGAGCTTTGTCCCTACTCAAATTTCAGAGGTCTGAGATGGCGGTGGGGGGGGGGGGGCCTCTTGGAGGGGGCCAACTGAGGATGGTCCATCAGGTAAGAGTAAATGGGAACTGGCTTTGGAGTCTGACTGCCTGGATGCCTGGTAGATGCCTAATGTCCCCGAGTCTCTGTTTCCTCATCTGTAGACCAGGGATGCTAATAACAGCACCTTCCCCGGGAAGGCATGGTCAGCAGTGAATGAGATACCTGTAAAGCACTTAGCCCGGTGCCTGGCACTCCATAATTACTCAATACTATTAGCTATTCCCATTCATTCATTCATTCATTCATTCACTCACATCTAATCAGCACTCTTCCCTGGGCAAGGCACTGCAGGAACACACAGCCCCTGCCCCTAAGTTAGTCACAGAATGCCTGGGGCAACAGGACAGTGCACATCAGGCTATGCGTGTGAGTGTGTGTGCAGAGAAAGTACCTGACTGAGTTGGGGGTCAGGAAAGGCCTTCCTGGAAGCCTTTTGATGATGACTAGTAGGAATCGTAAACAGGCAGCGTCTGACATGAGGACAGTTATCTGATGCGGGGAGCAGGAAAGGTATACCGGGCAGGGGAACAGCATGATCAGGGGCTCAGTGGCATAGAAAGTGCAGGGTTTAGCGGGGAGGGGGGCCGGCGCCCGGGTCTGTAGGGTCTACGCTGGGGTGTTGAGACGAGGCACGCTGGCGGGCATGTGTGTCTTCGTGGGGATGACCGCAGTCCTCCACTCACAAGGTCGTTAAGAGGACTCTGGGTTCACACTGGTATAGGGCATAGCACGGGGTCCGGGACATGGTGAGAGCTCACTGCCAACCGTCAAATGTGTGTGGCAGGAAGACTCTTCTGATGGCAGATGTATTATAGGGACGACACTGGCACTGGGGAGGCCAGTCCGTGGGACTGTGGTCTCCAGCTGTAGCCAGAGGACATGACCTCGAGGTGGAGGCTGCTGCTCTCCTGGGCCTAAGGGGAGGTTCAGGAGTAGAAGGATCTTCTGGTAGGAAAGCCGGCCCCGGGGGGAGCAGGGAGGGTAGGGGAAGGAGGGGCTGCCATGCCAACCTCTTCCCTGGAGGCCAATACTGACTCAGTGTCAAGGGCATTCAGGAAGGGCCATGTCCTTCCCACTCCCAGCTCTTCCCTGTTCTCCTCTTTGACTCCTTTCTCTGTGTCCACATCTCCTTTCAGTGAAGCCACTCCTGGGGGTTAGGGGCCCACAGGCGAGTTGTCACTATTCCAAACTCACCTGTTAGCCATCTGATCTTCCTCCTGAGAGTCCCCACCCTCTCCCATCAAAAATGAACGCAGGGCCCGGTGCACATGCCTGCAGGGCTCAGCAGGTCACATTCACGAGGGAAGCAGGTGGCTGTGGACAGCCAGGGCAGGATTAAAGGGGTGCTTGCTTCAGCTCTGGCTGCCCAGTGCCCTGTGTTGGAGGGGCTCACGCTCGCCAGAGCTCCTGATTTTCCACGAGCAGCTGGACATCTGGACATTGTGGGTAAAAGGATGCCGATGGAGATTATCCCACGGCCTGGGAAATGTCACATTTCTGTCACAGGCCAAAACTGAGGCCACGGAAGTGTCTGGTAAGATGCCGACTGCGGGGCCCAGATATCCGCCCCTCGCCCCTGCCCAGTCACTCAGATGGCTGCGTCCTCCCGAAGTGGACAGACCTCTGCCTCTTGGCTGGAGGTTTGAAGGGCAAGGCCTGCAGACCACCTGAGTGCTGGCCATCCGAGGATCCTTCGTTCAGTCTTTCAACAGATTTGCGCCCCAATTCTCTGCTAGGGTTTGGAGATACGGCACCGAATAGATGAAAAACTTAAGGAGAGTACTCTTGAGAGGGCTCGAAATGCGTCCCCTGGAACTCCGGGGTGTTTGTGAACAAGGGGATGAGGTCTGTTTCTGACTGGAGAATTTCTGATGTGGGAGGCCACAGACGTGGCCTGTGCTGGCTTGAAGGGACAGCGGTGCTGGGGATCAGGGAGGATGAAGGGCAGTGCTGCCTTCCCTCCTGGTGTTCTGAGGCCCTGAACTCTAGGCACATGGAAGACCCCGTGGCTCGAGGGGCCCCAAGTGTTGGTGCACGGAAGTGAGAGGAGGCTGGAGCTGCTGGGGCACAGGTGGCTGTGCGGCCCAAACGGTAACTCAAGAAGCAACTGGGCTGTGAGCCTCTGGTGGACTAGATAAGCCTCCACTCTCTCTGAGGGTCCAGGACAAAGCTCCTGGCACCCCACAAAATTACACCTGCTGTCTGCTGGGGACCCCGGCATCAGAAAGCCCGCCCAAGCCAGCCAGTGTGAATCAGAGCAAGAGTACCTCCCCCCACCCCATCCCCATCCCCATCCCTGCCAGCGAAGAGATAACT